AGGTGGAAGTCTTAAAAGTTACGGCATTAGAAGTTAAGTCTAAACTTTTCAGTCTTCAGGGAGTTGGGAGCTCCTTCCTAATTATTTTTGTGCCAGAAGTGGAGTTTATGGTAAGAGTGTCTCGGCCTCTCCTCTCCCTTTCAATGTCTTGTTTCCCCAATAAATGAGTTGCTCAGCTAGTTGCCAGATTTCTTTCTGAAGGAATCATTTCATGTGTAACTGCCAATTTGGTGTAGCCATTGGAGTTGAATTAAGGAGCCTCCAAGTCACTCTCTTGGCCCAGAACTTTGCTTCATACATCTTGAAACTCAGTAATTGGATGCATGTATGTTTAAGATTGGAATGTCTCCTGGATTTACCACCTTTTATTGTGAAATACCTGTCTGTAGTGATACTTCTTGTCCACTTCCTTTTGCATTGCATGTTTTTTTCTATCCTTTTACTTAAAACCTGTTTTCCGAAGTGTCTTGTAAACACCATATTGTTGAAGCTTGTTCTTTATCCAATATGATATTTGTATTTATGTTGATTCTTATCCTTAATCCACCCATGTAATTATTGATGTGGTTTGGTTGAGTCTGTCATCATGCTTTTATTTGTCCCATCTGTTGTTTCCTTTTTTCCTCCTTTTCTGCTTTCCTTTATATTAATCAAATATTTTTAATTCCACTTTATTGCCTTATTGGCTTTATATCTACATCTTTAACATTTTTTTAGTACTTGCTGTAAGGATGTACATTCCTTGCTGAATGCAATTTACAAACCACTTAACATACCACTTCCTCTATAATGTATATGTCCTAATTATAAATGTGTACTTCTAATTCATTACTTATATTTTTTCTACATGTCCTATATCTTAAGTTTTTAAATTTCTGCTTTAAATTGCATCTAGTTAAACACCATTATCTTCCTTTTGACAGTCAATTGGATTTTAAATTTAAGGAATTAGAAAAAATAATCTATCATCTCTAGCAAACTCTTCATGTTTCGTCAGGTACCACATACCTTCAATGCGAACTTCCTTTAACATTTTGTGTAGTGTAGGTCTCCTGGTATCAAATTTTCTCAGATTTCATTAAAGAATTTTTTTTACTGAATATTAAATTTTAGTCAGTTTGACCGTATTTTTCAGCATTTTAAAGACACTGTTCCACTATCCTGTTATTTTTCTGGTCAATTCTTCATTATAATTTGTTTTGCCTTTTTTTCTCTGACTGCTTTTAGAATTTCTCATCTTTGATTTTCAGTGGTTTGTGATGTGCATAGATGACTTATTTTTGTCCTGTTTGTAGTTTGAGTTTCTTGGATCTATGGGTTGCTCTTTTTTTAAATCAAATTAGGAAATTTTCAGCTTCATTTCAACACATGTATTTTTCTGCCTGAGTTTCCCTCTCCAGATTCCTGCTCTACATGTTAAGCCACTTCTTATGTATCCCATATATATCATGAAGTCTGTTTTTTTTTAATCCTCTTACCTCTGTCTGCTTGAGCTTGGACTGTTCCTGTTAACCTGTCCTGAAGTTCACTGACCTTTTCTCCTGCAGTGTCATGTATGTTTTTACCCTCATCTAGTGACATTTTAATTTCACACTGTATTTTTCAGCTACATAATGTTTGTTTTTCCTCTGAGCTTCACCACCAAGTAACTCATTAACCTTTTCCTTAAAATTATGAGGCATTAGAAGTTAAGTCTAAACTTTTCAGTCTTCAGGGAGTTGGGAGCTCCTTCCTAATTATTTTTGTGCCAGAAGTGGAGTTTATGGTAAGAGTGTCTCGGCCTCTCCTCTCCCTTTCAATGTCTTGTTTCCCCAATAAATGAGTTGCTCAGCTAGTTGCCAGATTTCTTTCTGAAGGAATCATTTCATGTGTAACTGCCAATTTGGTGTAGCCATTGGAGTTGAATTAAGGAGCCTCCAAGTCACTCTCTTGGCCCAGAACTTTGCTTCATACATCTTGAAACTCAGTAATTGGATGCATGTATGTTTAAGATTGGAATGTCTCCTGGATTTACCACCTTTTATTGTGAAATACCTGTCTGTAGTGATACTTCTTGTCCACTTCCTTTTGCATTGCATGTTTTTTTCTATCCTTTTACTTAAAACCTGTTTTCCGAAGTGTCTTGTAAACACCATATTGTTGAAGCTTGTTCTTTATCCAATATGATATTTGTATTTATGTTGATTCTTATCCTTAATCCACCCATGTAATTATTGATGTGGTTTGGTTGAGTCTGTCATCATGCTTTTATTTGTCCCATCTGTTGTTTCCTTTTTTCCTCCTTTTCTGCTTTCCTTTATATTAATCAAATATTTTTAATTCCACTTTATTGCCTTATTGGCTTTATATCTACATCTTTAACATTTTTTTAGTACTTGCTGTAAGGATGTACATTCCTTGCTGAATGCAATTTACAAACCACTTAACATACCACTTCCTCTATAATGTATATGTCCTAATTATAAATGTGTACTTCTAATTCATTACTTATATTTTTTCTACATGTCCTATATCTTAAGTTTTTAAATTTCTGCTTTAAATTGCATCTAGTTAAACACCATTATCTTCCTTTTGACAGTCAATTGGATTTTAAATTTAAGGAATTAGAAAAAATAATCTATCATCTCTAGCAAACTCTTCATGTTTCGTCAGGTACCACATACCTTCAATGCGAACTTCCTTTAACATTTTGTGTAGTGTAGGTCTCCTGGTATCAAATTTTCTCAGATTTCATTAAAGAATTTTTTTTACTGAATATTAAATTTTAGTCAGTTTGACCGTATTTTTCAGCATTTTAAAGACACTGTTCCACTATCCTGTTATTTTTCTGGTCAATTCTTCATTATAATTTGTTTTGCCTTTTTTTCTCTGACTGCTTTTAGAATTTCTCATCTTTGATTTTCAGTGGTTTGTGATGTGCATAGATGACTTATTTTTGTCCTGTTTGTAGTTTGAGTTTCTTGGATCTATGGGTTGCTCTTTTTTTAAATCAAATTAGGAAATTTTCAGCTTCATTTCAACACATGTATTTTTCTGCCTGAGTTTCCCTCTCCAGATTCCTGCTCTACATGTTAAGCCACTTCTTATGTATCCCATATATATCATGAAGTCTGTTTTTTTTTAATCCTCTTACCTCTGTCTGCTTGAGCTTGGACTGTTCCTGTTAACCTGTCCTCAAGTTCACTGACCTTTTCTCCTGCAGTGTCATGTATGTTTTTACCCTCATCTAGTGACATTTTAATTTCACACTGTATTTTTCAGCTACATAATGTTTGTTTTTCCTCTGAGCTTCACCACCAAGTAACTCATTAACCTTTTCCTTAAAATTATGGGCATATATATATATATATATATAGACAGTAACTTTTAAAGTGCTTGATGCTGTTTCTGCCATGGTGTGTCAACTTTGAATCTATTTTGATTACTTGTTTTTTTCTCACGTCACATTTTCTTGTTTTCACACCTAAGAGTTTTTTATTGCATGTTGTATATTGTAGATGTGATGTTGCTGAGTCTGGATTTTGTTGTCTTCCTTTAAAAGAGGGTCAGGTTTTGTGCTGGCAGGCAATTTACTGGCAAACCAGCTTGATCCTTTTGAGACTTAGCTTTAGGCTAACAGATCTAAAATAACCATATTCACAAGGCCTGCCCTTTTTTGGAGTTGCAATTGAATGTCTGGATGATGGGCAAGGACTTGCTCTTCTGTCTGTACACAACTCGAGTGTCTTATAAAAACTGTGTATATGCCTCCAGAATGCCCATTCACTCCCAGCTCACAGTACTAATCTATGCCAGGCCTTTTGGTTTGTCACCATACTAGGTTAACTATTGAGAGATATTTAAGAGGACCATGAATGTACATTTCTGGAGCTGCTTCTCTATACAGCTCCTTCCTCTCTGATACCCTCCTCATCAAATTCCAGCAGGAACCCTGAAGGGTGATGTTTTCTTCTACCCAGAAACACCTCTCCAGTGTTAGTTTGAATGGTGCCCTCAGACAGAAAGTTGAGGTGATTGTAGAGCTCAACTATTGTGTTTCTTCTCTTAGAAATAAGTCCTGGGCTGTTGTGCATTATGTGAAAACAGTGCTTTATGTGGTTTGTTTTGGTGTAATAGTTGATTACAGAGAAGTATACATCCCATTACTCCATCATGGTTAAAAATATAAAGATGTCGATTACTAAGTTTGCATACTCAGACTGCCTAAAATACTGAGAACTGTGACCAAATGTATTATTTAAAACTTAAGATTCTGCTTTTCAAACATTCTGTCAAGAGCTAGACTTTTGTGAGGGATGAAGGAGAAATACCTACATCATGGTATGACTGACTAGTCAATTATTTAGTGCTTTCCTTCCCTTTCTGAGTATCTTATTGATACTGGAGAATAAGGAAAGACAGAATAAAGGGCAAACTGATCAGCTTAAGAGTACAAGAGCTACTACATCAGAGAAAAATGTTAAATGCAAAATGGACATGTTTGAGGGAGAATTGAGAAACAGGAATTTACTAAGGATGAAACTATTCACCAGGTTTATTTATGGCCCTACTGAAGCCTTACTTTCCCTTAAGTTTTTTTGTTTTGTGACTATTCACATCACAAAAATGGTATTGGTTAGGTAATAGCAAACTTTTTAGACACCTGGGGATGTCAGTTCTTACCCCTCCCTAGAACCTTTATAATAATGTCATTTTTAATCAGAAGTGGTGACATTAAGAAAAACATACAACTCAGACCTCAAAAGAATAGGCAAGTAAGAGAGTGCTCAATCAAGTGCAGTCAGAGAATGTTATACCATTTCAACTGGTATGAAGTTAATCTGAAAAAAAGTTAACTGGATTATAGCATTTCAAAAATCAAGTTAATTCAACTTATGAACAGTATAAGAATTCATCGATTTTATGAAACAGCTAAGTTGCAGAAGCCAGTATATCTAAAACAATTAAAATTTAAGATGAATTATACCTGTAAGTACATGTTGCAGTAAGATGGACAGAAACACATTTTAGTCTTTTTAATATTAAGAAAAAAGTCTAAATAAACACATTCCAGATGAAATTAATTCTTTCCCCCCCAAAAAAGAGAATGAGAATTCAGTTTACCAGGAAGAACTTAAGATTTTGTCTAACACCAAAAATTTCAGTCTTGTGTGAAAATATAGACATTAGGGACACCTAAATTAATATAAATCAAGTTAAAGCATATAATAAACAGGATAAACTGCTGTCATTTCCAATGAACACAATTCAAATCTTGGGAATGGGAAAGACAGATTTTTAAACTTAATTTCTAGGTTAAACTTTCATTATGGCCATACCCCCAAATTTTATAGTATTATTGCTTATGCCCAAGTATTTTAGTTTCAGTGACAGAAATTAACTCAGTAGTCACACAGGGGTAAAGTAGTTCCATTCACAATTTATTGAGATGCAAATAGATTATGTGTTATGCTAGTTAAGAATAAATACCCCCAAAAATCTTGGTAGGTGTCCAAATGTCTAAGTGAATGCTAATGTTACTGTACCATTTAAGTTATAAGCTAAGAATATGAAGTACCTGTCAAGGTTTCAACAATAAAAATATCTTTTTTTAAAGACCATCATAGTTGGTAATAAATTAGATTTATACAATTGATCATTTCAAAATAAATTAATCCTGAGTTATAAACACCTCCTCTCCCTGTCTACATATGTATGACATCCCATTTTCTTTTAGACCAGTGTGCCTCAAACTTTAATGAGCATACATATGCCTTGAGGATCTCATTGAGATGCAGTTTACAATTCAGTAAGTCTGCTGTGGGGCCTGACAGTCTCCATTTCTAACAAGCTACAAAAGAAGCTGATGTTGGTCTTTGGACCTCTCTTTGAACAGCAAGGTGACCCAAGATACAGTGAGGACAATTTATGGCCTAATGACTGCATGATTTTACAGATTATTCAAGGCTATAATATTTTGGAATCAAACATAATATCAAAAATGATCACAAAAAGTCTTGGAAGAAAGGAACATTTTAGTTAAGTGAGAGCTTAAAGTAGTATACCAAGTTGGCACTGTTTCTACACCTTTGATACAATAAAAATTAGGACACCAAGTTCTTGTAATTTTTAAAATTGTTACTGTAGCTTCAGGCTTTCTTCCAGTTAATTCAAGTCCAGAAAATTCAAGCCAGGACACTGCAAAACCACTATTAAAAAATCTTTAATGGTAAACTGTCCATATGAATTACTTGTAAACTTTTGTAAACTTTAAGCTATCCCATCTCCTCCTCCTCTCTCAACAAATAAACGCTTTTTCTTCTGTCTTGTAGCCAAACAGCGTGTAACGCCCAGTGCCCCTCCCTTTAAAAATCGAACAAAATTGTCTCCAACCAAAGGACCCAATGCAAAAAGGTTGGCTTCTTTAACACACTCATAGGTGTATGCATCTATTTCCACAGGATTACCTTTACATGTGATTGGTTGGCTTGAGTTATGGCCCAGGTAACACCCTTGCTCCTTCAGAAAAGACAGATTGGGATGAGAACCAATCAGTACTACTGCTGCAGAGAGCTTCAATATCTTCTTCAATCCAGAGACACTTTGAAGAATGCATTTCATGTCTGACTTAAAGGAAAGCACATGGTGCTCAGGAAAACTGGTATAGTCAGATAAAAGATTCGAGTCTACAGAGTATGCCTGAGTACACATCATATGATAGACTTTATGGTATTCTGGATAAAGCTTTTTGGGAAGCTGTTTGAAAATTAAGCTTGGATCAGTTACTCTTCGGCGAAATACATGAATCACACGGATGTTGTTGTTGTAAGCACAAAGTACTGCATCAGCTGCACTAAGCCCAGAACCTACAATTAATACTGGGTCCACTTGGCCGCGCAACTTCCCTTTGCTTATAGCAGCTCCAAATTCAGGCACTGAATGAAACACGAAAGGAAAATTTTCCCCTTCAATTTCTAGGTGGGCAGGAGAATCCAGTGTTCCAGTTGCAAGAGCTACATTCTCAGCAAAGAGAGAGAACGGAACATGGGAACCATCTGCTATTTGCTGATAACCCCTGACTTCCCAGTTTCTCCTGATAAATTTTGACTTCTCCATCTGTAAATGCTGTGTTGAAATGTCTCTGTCTTGACCATCAGTATCATCTTCATCTCTATAGAGTCTTGAAACAGAGGTAATATAAGTATTCTCTCTGAAATTCTTCTGAAGACCCATGACTTTTATGTAATGTTTATAGTAGCGAGCTATTTCCTCTGGCATAACTCTATCCCCTTTCAGGTTCCTATAAAGAAAATGGAAAATATGAGCAAAGAGTACTTTGAGTTTCTATGATTACTGCTTCATCTAGTAAGCTATTTATCTTTTTAATTCCTCTGGACTGTCTTAGCTATAAATTATCCTAACACTTTAAAAAAAAGCTTTTTCTTTTTAGTTAAAAATGTTAATGAATTAGTTTATAAAGAGAAGTCCCATGAGAGTAGAGACTGTATTTAATGCGTCTGTTTCCCCAGTACCTTGCATAATACCTGTTCAGATTAGCTGCCTTTATCAATAAACTTGTATTAAATAAATGGATTAAAACATATATATCCAAAAATTATATTTTTATAGGCTTGCCTCACAATTGCCAACTAAGTAACTTTCAGTCTGTATACTATTCAGTTTATATTTTTTACTGTAACTATGGACTGAATTATTTAGATTACAATCGTTAAGATATTGCAGGTCTAAACTAACTGTATTACATACACTTCTTAAATATATACTATCTTGACACAATTTTTAGTAAGTTGGTATTTTCCTAGTAGCCTAGTGTTCAGATCAGTCTTCTAAACAAAATCAACCTACATCTAATAAGATAGTAACATTTCTCTCCTTTTTCCTACTCAAAGAGACCTATAAGTATAACCCGCTCTTTATGAAAAAAGTACATTAATACATCTTTGATTTTCTACTTGAACTTTCAAATAATTGGAATTTCCCCAAAATTACTGGGCCCTAACTAGAGATAAGTAGCAGCAAAAACATACCAAATCATTTCACATAATTCATTATAACCTGTAATTTGAAGAAGTTCATAAAAACTTTTTGTCTTAAAGTTCAATACTTTCTAAGATTTAGACCGTATTCTCAACTTTTACAGAAACCCTACGTAGTATTATCATCTCCATTTAATAAACTAGGAAATTGATACGCATGTTTATCTGACCAGGTCACATTAGAAGTTATAGAGTCAGGATTTAAACCCTGCCAATCTCTCAAGATCTAAGAGTCTTAACATCTGACAAGTAGGAACCAAAGCTAATATTTCATCCCAAGACTCATTTTCACATATTATTTCAATATACAATGTACCCAATTTAGAAGGATGAACACTAATAGTACCTAAGTCATAAAGCTTCCCCTTTCTTACCCATATCCCAAAAGGAAGAATGTTGAGCAGTTTCACTTGCTTACTTATGAAAATTAAGAACTTGTATAACTTGCCTGGTTTTGCAACTTTACATTTCAAACACATAAAATTCATTTTTTAAAAATCCAAAAGGAGTATCTGAAAGGTTTAATCTCAATTACCCATGTTGGTCTAAATTTATCCTCCTTAATGATTTCTGTGGAGTAGCATGGTTTCTATGTAGCAGGAATCAAGCATTCAAATGTCACAGCTCTGTTCTAACAAAGGTTAAGTAACTTCCTGCTTTGTGAGCAAATTAGAGAAGATTCTTTGTGTTAGTAATTCCTATCTAATTTAATATTTACTATCCTTGAAAATGATAAGGCTTTTCAAAGTTCTCTTTCTAAATTCTGGGTTCTTTTTCCCCAAAATAAACAAACTTGTCTTCTTCCAAGGTGAGATTTTCTCAGGTACTCCTACTTTTATGAACACTTTCTATACCCAAGGAGCCAATCACATTACACATTCTGGTTTATTCCATCATTCTAAATTATTAATTATACACACTCTTCTACTCTGAAAGTCAGACACTTTAGTTATGTATACATGAGATATGCATACATGAAATATATGCATATAGTGGATAAATGTGTATATCCACTCATAAAAATAAGTAAGTATGGAAGAGATTTATATGGGTGAATAAGAAAGTAACTAAACACAAAGTGGGGGAAAAAACCCATGATAAGCAAAGTCAAAGGAACGCAATCTGTAGACAAGCCCTTACCTCTGTGCAGTATTATGACATCTCTAATTGGAAAGTAGCTTGTAATCACTGCTGCAAAGACATTTTATTTGAAAGACCCATATGTTTATATTATTCATCTAAAACAGGATCACAAATATTTTGAAATCTGCACACTCTTTCTCACTGTACACAAAAGAATTTTAATAGTTCACTTTTACCTTCGTTTGCTGGATACCCAATCTTTGAATTTAAGTCCAGGTAGCTCCATCCAGTTTCCAAAGCTGATTGTCAACATGGAGCCTTCCATATTCTATTTGAATAAAAAATGTACAATCAATAAACAAATTTAAAGCAGTAACATGGATTTTTTAACTCTATCTCATTTACTATAATTAAGAGTCTGGATAAGGAGAGCTCAGAGAAGTCTTAAATGGTTGTGTGAATTACCTCTAAAAGTTGTTCTAATACACTTTCAAAAACATCCATAAATTTGGTACTATCAAAAGTCCTTTCATATAGGAATACATTTATTTATAAAATGAATTTATAGTATTGCCCTATGTTTATACAATGTTGATAACTTTGGCCTATATCAACATGATAATTCAGCTGCAACAATATCATGTTAGGAAACAAATCAATATTTCCACTCTTTAAACAAAAGGAAAAAAGTTCATTTGTAACACTTCAGATGTCTTTCTACTTTGACATTATTAAGAGATTTTTCTTTAATGGGTAGCAAAGCACTTTTAGGTCCTCCATCAACTAACCAACTTCAAGTATGAAATCTAAGCGGATTTGGAAATAGCATCCCTTTGTAAAACTAGGGAAATAAGCAGTGGTTGCTTAATTAAGAACAGACTCACTGCTGAGGCTAATGCCACCCTTAAGAAAGAACCCTTAAAGCTCCCTCATCCTGCTTACTTCGCTTGTTCAGTACAAAGCAGGAGAAGCCCGTCGGCCAAAATCTCCTGTTCCAGTGACTTCAATGATCTCCGTCAACGAACAATTTTAGGCTACGGCTTTTCCCTTAATTCTTGTCCTGTTTCTACATAGCCCAGTACTTGGAATAGGACTTACTTTTCACTAACATTTGCAAAACACTTAGTGTATGAAAGGCCTTATGAAGCCAATTATTTCTCACCACAGGGAGAGAAAACAGCAAGCTGCCACTACTTTAAGGCACATAGCCTGGTACTAGGAGGAGAACCAAGAAGATGGAAAACATCGGAAGGGGGGAGCTGTTAAAAATTTATCATGTATCAGAAGGAACATGGAGCCATAATCGTCTCATCTGGGACATTCAGTCTTGTGTGAAAATATAGACATTAGGGACACCTAAATTAATATAAATCAAGTTAAAGCATATAATAAACAGGATAAACTGCTGTCATTTCCAATGAACACAATTCAAATCTTGGGAATGGGAAAGACAGATTTTTAAACTTAATTTCTAGGTTAAACTTTCATTATGGCCATACCCCCAAATTTTATAGTATTATTGCTTATGCCCAAGTATTTTAGTTTCAGTGACAGAAATTAACTCAGTAGTCACACAGGGGTAAAGTAGTTCCATTCACAATTTATTGAGATGCAAATAGATTATGTGTTATGCTAGTTAAGAATAAATACCCCCAAAAATCTTGGTAGGTGTCCAAATGTCTAAGTGAATGCTAATGTTACTGTACCATTTAAGTTATAAGCTAAGAATATGAAGTACCTGTCAAGGTTTCAACAATAAAAATATCTTTTTTTAAAGACCATCATAGTTGGTAATAAATTAGATTTATACAATTGATCATTTCAAAATAAATTAATCCTGAGTTATAAACACCTCCTCTCCCTGTCTACATATGTATGACATCCCATTTTCTTTTAGACCAGTGTGCCTCAAACTTTAATGAGCATACATATGCCTTGAGGATCTCATTGAGATGCAGTTTACAATTCAGTAAGTCTGCTGTGGGGCCTGACAGTCTCCATTTCTAACAAGCTACAAAAGAAGCTGATGTTGGTCTTTGGACCTCTCTTTGAACAGCAAGGTGACCCAAGATACAGTGAGGACAATTTATGGCCTAATGACTGCATGATTTTACAGATTATTCAAGGCTATAATATTTTGGAATCAAACATAATATCAAAAATGATCACAAAAAGTCTTGGAAGAAAGGAACATTTTAGTTAAGTGAGAGCTTAAAGTAGTATACCAAGTTGGCACTGTTTCTACACCTTTGATACAATAAAAATTAGGACACCAAGTTCTTGTAATTTTTAAAATTGTTACTGTAGCTTCAGGCTTTCTTCCAGTTAATTCAAGTCCAGAAAATTCAAGCCAGGACACTGCAAAACCACTATTAAAAAATCTTTAATGGTAAACTGTCCATATGAATTACTTGTAAACTTTTGTAAACTTTAAGCTATCCCATCTCCTCCTCCTCTCTCAACAAATAAACGCTTTTTCTTCTGTCTTGTAGCCAAACAGCGTGTAACGCCCAGTGCCCCTCCCTTTAAAAATCGAACAAAATTGTCTCCAACCAAAGGACCCAATGCAAAAAGGTTGGCTTCTTTAACACACTCATAGGTGTATGCATCTATTTCCACAGGATTACCTTTACATGTGATTGGTTGGCTTGAGTTATGGCCCAGGTAACACCCTTGCTCCTTCAGAAAAGACAGATTGGGATGAGAACCAATCAGTACTACTGCTGCAGAGAGCTTCAATATCTTCTTCAATCCAGAGACACTTTGAAGAATGCATTTCATGTCTGACTTAAAGGAAAGCACATGGTGCTCAGGAAAACTGGTATAGTCAGATAAAAGATTCGAGTCTACAGAGTATGCCTGAGTACACATCATATGATAGACTTTATGGTATTCTGGATAAAGCTTTTTGGGAAGCTGTTTGAAAATTAAGCTTGGATCAGTTACTCTTCGGCGAAATACATGAATCACACGGATGTTGTTGTTGTAAGCACAAAGTACTGCATCAGCTGCACTAAGCCCAGAACCTACAATTAATACTGGGTCCACTTGGCCGCGCAACTTCCCTTTGCTTATAGCAGCTCCAAATTCAGGCACTGAATGAAACACGAAAGGAAAATTTTCCCCTTCAATTTCTAGGTGGGCAGGAGAATCCAGTGTTCCAGTTGCAAGAGCTACATTCTCAGCAAAGAGAGAGAACGGAACATGGGAACCATCTGCTATTTGCTGATAACCCCTGACTTCCCAGTTTCTCCTGATAAATTTTGACTTCTCCATCTGTAAATGCTGTGTTGAAATGTCTCTGTCTTGACCATCAGTATCATCTTCATCTCTATAGAGTCTTGAAACAGAGGTAATATAAGTATTCTCTCTGAAATTCTTCTGAAGACCCATGACTTTTATGTAATGTTTATAGTAGCGAGCTATTTCCTCTGGCATAACTCTATCCCCTTTCAGGTTCCTATAAAGAAAATGGAAAATATGAGCAAAGAGTACTTTGAGTTTCTATGATTACTGCTTCATCTAGTAAGCTATTTATCTTTTTAATTCCTCTGGACTGTCTTAGCTATAAATTATCCTAACACTTTAAAAAAAAGCTTTTTCTTTTTAGTTAAAAATGTTAATGAATTAGTTTATAAAGAGAAGTCCCATGAGAGTAGAGACTGTATTTAATGCGTCTGTTTCCCCAGTACCTTGCATAATACCTGTTCAGATTAGCTGCCTTTATCAATAAACTTGTATTAAATAAATGGATTAAAACATATATATCCAAAAATTATATTTTTATAGGCTTGCCTCACAATTGCCAACTAAGTAACTTTCAGTCTGTATACTATTCAGTTTATATTTTTTACTGTAACTATGGACTGAATTATTTAGATTACAATCGTTAAGATATTGCAGGTCTAAACTAACTGTATTACATACACTTCTTAAATATATACTATCTTGACACAATTTTTAGTAAGTTGGTATTTTCCTAGTAGCCTAGTGTTCAGATCAGTCTTCTAAACAAAATCAACCTACATCTAATAAGATAGTAACATTTCTCTCCTTTTTCCTACTCAAAGAGACCTATAAGTATAACCCGCTCTTTATGAAAAAAGTACATTAATACATCTTTGATTTTCTACTTGAACTTTCAAATAATTGGAATTTCCCCAAAATTACTGGGCCCTAACTAGAGATAAGTAGCAGCAAAAACATACCAAATCATTTCACATAATTCATTATAACCTGTAATTTGAAGAAGTTCATAAAAACTTTTTGTCTTAAAGTTCAATACTTTCTAAGATTTAGACCGTATTCTCAACTTTTACAGAAACCCTACGTAGTATTATCATCTCCATTTAATAAACTAGGAAATTGATACGCATGTTTATCTGACCAGGTCACATTAGAAGTTATAGAGTCAGGATTTAAACCCTGCCAATCTCTCAAGATCTAAGAGTCTTAACATCTGACAAGTAGGAACCAAAGCTAATATTTCATCCCAAGACTCATTTTCACATATTATTTCAATATACAATGTACCCAATTTAGAAGGATGAACACTAATAGTACCTAAGTCATAAAGCTTCCCCTTTCTTACCCATATCCCAAAAGGAAGAATGTTGAGCAGTTTCACTTGCTTACTTATGAAAATTAAGAACTTGTATAACTTGCCTGGTTTTGCAACTTTACATTTCAAACACATAAAATTCATTTTTTAAAAATCCAAAAGGAGTATCTGAAAGGTTTAATCTCAATTACCCATGTTGGTCTAAATTTATCCTCCTTAATGATTTCTGTGGAGTAGCATGGTTTCTATGTAGCAGGAATCAAGCATTCAAATGTCACAGCTCTGTTCTAACAAAGGTTAAGTAACTTCCTGCTTTGTGAGCAAATTAGAGAAGATTCTTTGTGTTAGTAATTCCTATCTAATTTAATATTTACTATCCTTGAAAATGATAAGGCTTTTCAAAGTTCTCTTTCTAAATTCTGGGTTCTTTTTCCCCAAAATAAACAAACTTGTCTTCTTCCAAGGTGAGATTTTCTCAGGTACTCCTACTTTTATGAACACTTTCTATACCCAAGGAGCCAATCACATTACACATTCTGGTTTATTCCATCATTCTAAATTATTAATTATACACACTCTTCTACTCTGAAAGTCAGACACTTTAGTTATGTATACATGAGATATGCATACATGAAATATATGCATATAGTGGATAAATGTGTATATCCACTCATAAAAATAAGTAAGTATGGAAGAGATTTATATGGGTGAATAAGAAAGTAACTAAACACAAAGTGGGGGAAAAAACCCATGATAAGCAAAGTCAAAGGAACGCAATCTGTAGACAAGCCCTTACCTCTGTGCAGTATTATGACATCTCTAATTGGAAAGTAGCTTGTAATCACTGCTGCAAAGACATTTTATTTGAAAGACCCATATGTTTATATTATTCATCTAAAACAGGATCACAAATATTTTGAAATCTGCACACTCTTTCTCACTGTACACAAAAGAATTTTAATAGTTCACTTTTACCTTCGTTTGCTGGATACCCAATCTTTGAATTTAAGTCCAGGTAGCTCCATCCAGTTTCCAAAGCTGATTGTCAACATGGAGCCTTCCATATTCTATTTGAATAAAAAATGTACAATCAATAAACAAATTTAAAGCAGTAACATGGATTTTTTAACTCTATCTCATTTACTATAATTAAGAGTCTGGATAAGGAGAGCTCAGAGAAGTCTTAAATGGTTGTGTGAATTACCTCTAAAAGTTGTTCTAATACACTTTCAAAAACATCCATAAATTTGGTACTATCAAAAGTCCTTTCATATAGGAATACATTTATTTATAAAATGAATTTATAGTATTGCCCTATGTTTATACAATGTTGATAACTTTGGCCTATATCAACATGATAATTCAGCTGCAACAATATCATGTTAGGAAACAAATCAATATTTCCACTCTTTAAACAAAAGGAAAAAAGTTCATTTGTAACACTTCAGATGTCTTTCTACTTTGACATTATTAAGAGATTTTTCTTTAATGGGTAGCAAAGCACTTTTAGGTCCTCCATCAACTAACCAACTTCAAGTATGAAATCTAAGCGGATTTGGAAATAGCATCCCTTTGTAAAACTAGGGAAATAAGCAGTGGTTGCTTAATTAAGAACAGACTCACTGCTGAGGCTAATGCCACCCTTAAGAAAGAACCCTTAAAGCTCCCTCATCCTGCTTACTTCGCTTGTTCAGTACAAAGCAGGAGAAGCCCGTCGGCCAAAATCTCCTGTTCCAGTGACTTCAATGATCTCCGTCAACGAACAATTTTAGGCTACGGCTTTTCCCTTAATTCTTGTCCTGTTTCTACATAGCCCAGTACTTGGAATAGGACTTACTTTTCACTAACATTTGCAAAACACTTAGTGTATGAAAGGCCTTATGAAGCCAATTATTTCTCACCACAGGGAGAGAAAACAGCAAGCTGCCACTACTTTAAGGCACATAGCCTGGTACTAGGAGGAGAACCAAGAAGATGGAAAACATCGGAAGGGGGGAGCTGTTAAAAATTTATCATGTATCAGAAGGAACATGGAGCCATAATCGTCTCATCTGGGACTCAAAAACCTTAAAGTTCTAATATTATTCCACTTAACTGCCAACAACCTATTAACTTTATTCCCAACTGTACACTTTCTTCCAGTTGGCTGAAAGCCTAGTCCCTTGGTCTTTCTATTTTTTCCCCTATGTTCCTTTATTTTCCCTATGTAATCTATGTGTCTGTCATGGAGAATGTAGTATATTAAGGGATGCAAACCTGACAGAAGTACTGTGAAGACATAGAAAAAGAAGAATATTTCTTGACACAAATGGGCTTTGAGGAGTATACTATTAGGAAGGGACAATATTCCTAACTACAAACAAGTTATGTGACAGTTTAAAAAAGAGAAAGAACATGACTGTCGTTTAAGGAATAAAAAGTTCAGCCTTGTAAAAGAAAAGATTAATTTAGCAGGCTTGGGTTGCTTAAACCTGCACATTACTAAGAAAGGTATTGTCTTCAGAACTGGCCTGTGGCTGCTTCCTAGGAAAGAGCCTCTGAGACCTTGAAAAATTCTGCCTGAAGAGAGTTGTTTTTGTTTTTGCATGTCAGAGACATTGGGCTACACTTGGGCTATGCTTGTGTGACTGTGTTGTTTATCCTAACTATGTCATTTATAGTGAATACCATAATGAATTGGAACTCAAAATACTCAATTCCCTGAGTATTTGCTCAGGGAAGCAGAGGAATCAGTCACGAAAGTCAGTCACATGGGTGTTGCTTGCCTACATGAGTGATCACCCAAAAAAATCCCTAGACACTCAGGTGTGGGTGAGCATGCCACATCAGCCATTCCTTGCACGTCACACATCACTGCTGGGAGAATTAAGTGCATGCTCATGCAACTCCATGCGAACAGATGTTTAGAAATAGAGCTTATCTTCTCCTGTACTTTGCCCTATGAACCTTTTTCCTTTAATGAATCCAGTCTGTATCCTTTCACTGTAATGCTGTGTAACCATGAGTACATCTTTAATGAGCTCTGTGAATCACACATCCTGAGGAAAACCTGGACTCTTAATAAAAACATTCTGGAGCATGGAATATAAGGGACAGAGAGGAGTAAGGCAAGAAAGCTAAGTAGGGGCTAGATCACCCAAACCATGGTAAAATGCATTAAAGACTTTGCATATAATTCATTAGATAAACAAGAGGCCAAAGGGTCTTATACATGGATATAACATCCCAGAAATATATGTTAGAAAGATGACTATGGTATGAAGAATGTAGTGAAGAAGACAAAGACAAGACTGGAGTGAGAAAACCATTTAGGAAGACTTTCCAATAACTTGGGGGAGAAAGAATGGTGATCCATACAGCAAAATTCAATTACAATGAAGAAAAATAATGTACATTGACTCAAAATAGGTTTATGAGAAAGAATGGAGAAGATACGATAATTGGTTTGAAGTGGGAGTTGGGGAGAAATCAAAGATTTCTGCCTGAAGTTATGACATTATAGTGCCATTCTATAATAAGGAAATGGAAGGAATTTGATGATAAAGGTGATTAATTTTAGGCATGTTGAGTTTGAGAACACCTGTGGCATAATCAAGGGAACATATCTTATTGAGTATGTAAGAGTGATCTGGGCAAGGGATCTTTATTTGGGAACCAATCAGCATCCATATGCAAGTCACTGAAGTATATGAGCAACCCAGGGAAAGAGAAGACCTTGGCTTGGGTCAGTATACACAAGCACAGTTTTAAAGAACAAGAGTCCACAAAGATAAATGAAAAGGAGTAACAAACAGGAAGAAAACGGAGATGAAAAGTTCACAGAATCCAAAAGGGCCATCAGCACTATAAAATGTTGCAGATATCGGGAAAGGTAAATTTGAGACTATCAAACTCAGCAAAAAAGGAAATAATTGACCTTCAAAAAGAGATGGTCCATTGGAAAAATGGTGACAGAGCTAGAGTGCGATGAGCTAAATGAGTAGGAGGCCAAAAGACATGGAAATACATAGAGGTAACATTTTCAAGTTGGCTATCAAACAAAGGATACAAATAGGCAAGCTTGCTCACAACATTTAACAACAGAAAATAATTCTAGCATGTTTACATACTGATGAATAGAACCTGGCAGAGAAACTGAAGAAGCTTCATTACAAGAAAGTAATGGCAAAATCAAATAAGCAATGTACTTAAGAAGACAGGGATCCAGAATATAAGCTGGAAGGTTGGCCTTGGATAGAAGTGATACCTCTTCTACTGTAACAGGGAATAAGAAACAAAGAATAAGCATGAAGACAGGTAAGTTTGTAGGTTTCAGTGAAAAATTACGTAGGTTCAATACTGACAGATTCCACTTCCTCTGTAAAGCAAGAATCAAGTTATTTCAAAGCTGGAAGGTGAAAAAAGGGATAAAAGCTTGAAGAATTTAATGAGGAAATATCAAAAGACGGTCCCAAGTAATGTTCTTGGGACCCAGCTAAGGATGGGGAATACTTTTGTAGCTGTTAAGATTTTTTTTCTGGTAACGTTTAACAACTCAAGTATAGGAAAAGAAAGAGTAGATAGTTGTAAGAATTATTTTTGCCAAGGCTATGTGATAGAAGGACAATGGGTCAAGGGAACTAAGGAGAATGGTTCGATCACTGGGCAATAGAACTGCAAAGGTAAGGAGGTTAAGATAGGGCCTGGAACACACTCGTGTTTGGAGATTAGGTACAGTATGCATAACTATGTGATGCAGTTGGAAGAATAGAAAGTTGTGATCATAAAGTAAAATTTTGAAAATTTAGGTTTTCACAAGTTGAGTAGTTATGAATAGGAAGCCTACAGTGGAGCTACTGGAGTTAGTACCTAATGAAAAATGTGAGATCACTGAGAAATGAAGAGGTTAAGGTGTTGGTTCTGTGTCATGTATGTACAGGTAATGTTATTCCAGGTAATAATAAACCTTAAGATATAATGCAAAACCATGAGTTAGGTGCCATAGATTCAGTAATTGAGGGGAAAATTCTAGAACAGCAGAAGAGCTAGAAAGTGACAAGCTCTGTTCAAATAAACAGGGACCTCTACACAAGAGCGGTGGGGAACAAGGAGAATACCAACCTCACTAGCAATATGAAAGGACATGGACGATGGGAGAAGGAACAGACTCCACTCCAGAGGGCTGCAGGGAAGCATGATACCTTCAGGAAAAGGCAAGCTTTCAAGGAATGGAATGAAGCAGCCCATCAATGAAATGGTTGAGAGTGTAGGAAAACTCTTTTATCATGTATTTATGATGCATGAAAAAGTTTCAGCAAGTTTTAGGTAAATTTCAGCTTTCCCACTGATTTCCATGTGTTTTTGGTAATCAAGGTTTATCTATACTTTAACTTTCCATTTTAAATGGAAGAAATGAAGTAACATCAATTATTTCCTGTACATTGTTATAAGCAGAAAAATGTAAGTAAAATAATACCTCAGGAATTTAGAGAAGGTAACCTAAAAACTTAAAATATGCATTAGACTTTTTCAAGAAATGCGTGTTTATTAAGAATGCTATTCATTAATATAGCAAATATAAAACACTTAAGATAATTCTCTTTATGATAGGAATAGCAACCACCAAGTTAAGATTATAAAAGGAATCAAGGCTGTATTTAATCTGTACAGTCCCCAAATACCCAGAACAGCCACTTGACAAGTTAAATGTAAACAACTTTTAGACATACAACATTGTGCTAATACAGGAATAGCCAACTAAAGTTTATACTAAAGGATTTGGTATTTAATGTTAAAATTCCCATGATTCATAACACAGCAAAAATGATTTGACATTTATTTGTATAACAAAGGAGCACTCATTACACACTGGACACTGTACTAACTGCTAAGAACACAGGAGTGATGACTTAGCTGCTGCCCACTGCCATGCACTGAACCTGTTATCAGTTCTCTTGTTTAATCTCTCTTATGAATTGAGTCATGTCAACCCCAAAATCCATGTATTCAAGTCCTAACTCCCAGTATGATGGTATTTGGAGATGGGGCCTTTGGGAGATAATCGGGGCTGGATGAGGTCATGAGGATGGTACCCTCAGGATAGGATTAGTGGCTTTAAAAGAGGAGGAAGAGAGAAAGACAATGCAAGAAAGTGGCCATCTGCAAAGGAAAAGGAAAAGAGCCCTCACCATGAACTGAACAGGCTGGCACCTTAATGTGGAACTTCCCAGCCCCCAAACTGTGAGAAATAAGTATCTGCTGTTTAAACAACTCAGTCAATGATATTTCATTCTAGCAACCCAGGCAGACTAACACAAATTCTTCTACAATACATTTTTCATTTAAGATCATGAAAATACAGGGAAATAAAGGACACTGCTATGAAGTACTGTATGAGACTTTGTAGAAGTCTAAAAACACAGAAATGCATTAAAAAAATTTTTATTATACAAAAAATTCTATATAATTCTTACAAAATAATGTAAGAACTGCTTATTCTAAGACTGCATCAGTAATCAAATTTGACTTAAATCATACTAGTAATTAACCTATATTGAACAGCATTAAAATTCTCAGTTAAAAACATGGTAAACACCATATATATCATATCATAATGTTTAAGAGTCAAAATGGTCTTATCAAGATGACACATAATAACACACATACATTAAAGTGCTAAGAAAAATATACTCACATGCCAAGCTCCACCAGGTGGACCTTTACCAAGAACTAAGTGAGGGATATAATGATGCTGTTCTAATTTCCAATGCAAAACGGATGGATAATCATACCCAAAGTCAGCATCTGGATGAAGAAGTGTGTCAAAAAGTACTGCAACTGGATTGGATGACCGACCCTCAAGGCCCTCAGACAAGTATTCCAAGTCCTGAGTGAATTTTTTTTAGAAAGACAAAAGGCAGAGTTTGAAAGGGGCAAAAAAAACATATAGCAACAGCTATCATCATTAACAGTGGCCCTTACTCTAACCCAGCATTTCCCAGTGTGCTACAGAACAGTGACATTCCTCAAGATCTTCATAGGTTCTTTCGTTAAATAAATATGGGGAAAAGTTGCGTTTCAAGAAAGCTAATCAGATCCTTTTACTGAAAAACTTCAAGATTCCTTATTGTGCTAATTTGCCTTAATATGTCTTCCATGACAAATAGCAGCACTTCCCAAATTTATCTGAGCACAGAGTACCTATTACAACTCCACAGGTATAATTTGGGAATTCTGCTCTAATCAATTCAGGAAAATAAACTGAAGTAACTCATCAGAATATATTTATAAATCTAAACTAAAAATAATAAGTATTATTTAGAAGAAAGGTTCTTCAAATTACACAATGCTTATGTAAGGAGACAACCAACCTTGTTCCAGTATAGAAAAGTAAAAGGATTTACACATAAGAAACAATACCTGATCAATGATGGAAAGATGTCTTGCTTCTTCTAATTTATTATGTAAGATTGTATTGGGATGTGTTGCTTCTGATGATAAATATGGTCTGTAGCCGGATAACATATAAGAAAGGCAGATTCCTGAGGGTCCATTTCCTATTAAAAAACAAAACAAAAGAAAAGTGTAGAAAAGTGCATCATGCACCTTACTAGTCTTGTTCCCTGGCTTTTCTCACAGATGGCTCTTCTCCCTCACCTATTCTTCCTTCTCTAAACTCTTAAATCCAGATATTCACAATATTCTGACCCTGTCTTCTTGAATCCTGTTTTCTTTTGGGGACTCTCATCTACTCAAAGCTTTAATTCTCTATACTACTGACTCTCAAACTTAGATCCCTAAGCTGACCTCTTTCCCAAAAATATATCCCACATTTCCATATGCTATTTCTTCACGCCACCTGACTGACCCTCTAACAACTTAATCACAATATGTTCAAAAGCAAATTCATTTCAGTCAATGTCTTCTCCTTTAACCCCATCCCTTCTCAAAGAATGGTATTAGCAAAATCAGGTTCTAAACCTGTTCTAAACCTATGGTCATCTATCACCACTCAGTTGTATGCATAATTATCACTCCTCTACTCTAGCTTAGAAGACAAAAGTCTCCTGTTCCTGCTCAAGATTCACCTACTTCAAAATCTTTCATATTCTACATTCAGATGAGTTTGGTAACACACTGTCCTTATCACGTTACCCCCTTTATTCTATGGGCCCTAATTACTTGTTTCTCTGGTTACCCAGCATTCTCCATGTTCTGGTCTCAACCATCTTTCCAGTCCCATCTCCAAATACGGCCTTTTCTACACTTTTATATATTGCAACTAAAATCAAACTCCACTTTTTGTTGAACTCTGTTGAACTACTTCCATTTCTGTAGTTCCCTTAGTCTGGGTTGCCACTTCTCTATTATCTCCATCTATCAAAAATTTAATCCAACTGGGACAATGGCTATTCATCAGGAAAAAAATACTGTTTCTTCCCTAATATTTTGCCCTATATAAAGCAGGCTCAAAGATGTAAATATGAAAAGTAAAATCCTAAGACTATGAGAAAAGGGGGCAATATTTCTACTTATAATACTGCAGTGGGAAGCCTTTATGCAAGACACAAAAATCAACAAAGAAAAATAAACTATTGACTTCAGAAAAATTAAAAACAAATGACAAATAGTGGGAGTTAAGATCTGAGGCAAAGAACTAATTTCCTTGAATAAAAAAGAAAGAAAAACTAAAGAAGAAAAATCATGATAATATCAAGATATGAAAAAAGCATCTGACAAAATCTAACACCTATTCATGATAAAAACTGTCAGCAAGCTCAATAAAGAATTTCAATTTGATAAAGAGTATCTATAAAAAAACCTACAGCAAACATATTTTAATGATGAGAAATGAGGTGCTTTCCCTAAAAAGCCAGACAAGGATGTCTCTTCTCACCATTCCAATTCAATACACACTACAATGAAAGTCATAGCTAATGCAGTACGACAAGAAGGAAATAAAAGGTATACAAATGGGAAAGGAAGAAATAAAACTGTATTTGTTCATAAATCCCATGATCATCTATACAGAAAATCCAAAAAAGTGACCAAAGAACTAGAACTTGCAATTATCGCAAGGCTGCAGAATATAAGGTATACCAGCAAGGAACAAGTGGAATTTGAAATTATATACACAACACTGCTTATATTCACACACAAAAAAGAAATAGCTGGACATACATGAAACAAATACGTATAAGAGCAATATGAGGAAAACCACAAAACTCTGATGACTCAAAAAATACCTAAATATGGATAAAGAAGATGTGGTACACATACACAATGAAATATTATTCATCCATAAGAAGAAAACAAATCCTACCATTTGCAACAACATGGATGGAGCTAGAGGGTATTATGCTCAGTGAAATAAGCCAGGCAGAGAAAGACAAGTATCAAATGATTTCACTCATCTGTGGAGTATAAGAACAAAGAAAAAACTGAAGGAACAAAACAGCAGCAGACTCACAGAACCCAAGAATGGACTAACAGTTACCAAAGGGAAAGGGACTGGAGAGGATTGGTGGGAAGGGAGGGATAAGGGGGGAAAGGGGCATTACAATTAGCACACATAATGTAGCGGGGGGTGGCAGGGGGAAGGCAGAATAACACAGAGAAGACAAGTAGTGATTCTATAGCATCTTACTACGGTGATGGACAGTGACTGTAATGGGGTATGTGGTGGAGACTTGATAATGGGGGAATCTATTAATAATAATGTTGCTCATGTAACTGTATATTAATGATACCAAAATAATTTATATATATATATATATATATATATAAATGGATTTTACATGTTCATTGGTAGAAAGACTCAATATTGTTCAGATGTCAGTTCTTCCCAACTTAATCTACAGATTCAACACAATCCAAATCACAATCTCAGCAAGTTATTTTATGGATACTGGCAAACTGACTCTAAAGTTTAAATGGAAAGATGAGAAGAACCAGAACAGCCAACCCAGTATCAAAGAACAGCATTAGGACTGACACGCCCAACTTCAAGTCTTTCTCACTACAATAAAAAATAACAGTACAAAAATGACAAAAAAGTAGACAAGTCAATGGAACAGAATAGAGAGCCCAGCAAAAGATCCTCACAGATATAGTCAACTTATTTTTGACAAGGAGCTAAGGCTGGAGAAAGCACAGTGTTTTCAACAAATGGTACTGGAACAACTGGACATCCACATGCAAAAATAGGAATCTAAATACTAACCTTTTTATAAAACTCAACTCAAAACAGATCATAGGCCTAACTAAAAAATAGTGTATTATAAAACTAGAAGATAACAGAGGAGAAAACCTAGGAAACACCTTTGGTTTGGCAATAAGTTTTTAGCTATAACACCAAAAGTAGGATTCATGAAAGAAAAAATTGATAAGCAGTACTTCATTAAATTTTAAAATTTCTGCTCTGCAAAAGACTGTTAAGAGAATGAAAACCCAAGTAACAGACTGGGAGAAAATATTTGCAAAACATGTATTTGACAACATACTTCTTTATACAAAAACCTCTTGAACATAAAACAAATAACCCAATGGATTAAAAGTACGGAAAAGATCTGAACAGATGTCTCAGTGATACATAGATGGCAAACAAACAAAAAGATACTCAACATCATATATCATTACAGAACTGCAATGAGGTAGTACCACATACCTACAGAATGGCTAAAATACCAAACACAGATAATACCAAAGGCTAATGAGGATATGGAGCAACAGAAACTCTCATTCAGAGCTACTGGGAATGCAAAATGATACAGCCACTCTGGATGACAGTTTCTCAAAAAGCTAAAAACATTCTTACCATAAGAGCCAAGTTAGTATCTAATCAATTACCTGGAGGAGTTGAAAATTTAATGACCATGCAAAAACCAGCACATGCATGTTTACAGCAGCTTTATTCATAATTGTCAGAGATTGGAAGCAATGAAAATGTCCTTCAATAAATGAATGGACAAACTGTGAGATATCAATACAATGGAATAGTACTCAGAGATAAAAAGAAATGAGCTATGAAGCCGTGAAAGAATGGAAAAATGTTAAATACAAATTGCTAAGTGAAAGACACCAGTCTGAAAAGGCTACCAACTGTATGATTCCATGCATATGACATTCTGGGCAAAACTAGAGAGACAGTAAAAGATCAGTGGTTGCCTGGGGTTGGGAGTTGAAGGAAAGGATGAATAGGTAGAATATAGGAGTTTTTAGGGCAGTGCAAGTATTTTGTGTAACACTATAGTGGTGGATACATGACATTAGACATTCAGCAAAATGCACAGAACCATACAACACAAATAGAGAACCCTAATTTAAATTACAGATTTTAGTTAACAATAGTAATATAAAAACATTGATTCATCAATGATAACAGGTTTACCACACCAATGCAGGATGTTGAAATAGGAAAAACAGGATTGGGGGGCTCAGAGAAGAAAAAAGGGAGTAAATGTGAACTCTTTGTACTATCTACTCAATTTTCCTGTAGATCTAAACTTCCCTAAAAAATAAAGTCTATTAAGGTAAATACTGAATAGATGAAAAACAGTGCAAATTAAGTTCTAAGGCAAAGAGCTAAGTTTCCTGAATCAAAAACAAACAACACTCAACAGATAACAGGCAAAGAATACAAACAGGCAGTTCACAGAGAAACGTATGTAGGCAGAATGCTCCCTCACTCCCAAAGATACCCCCACCCTAACACCAAGAACCTGAAAATGTTACCTTAATAGCAAAAAGACTCTGTATATGTGATTAAATTAAAGACATTGAGACAGGGGTGAGTACCCTGGAGTACACAGGTAGATCCAATCTAATCACACAAGTTCTTAAAAACAGAGAAACTTTCCCAGCTGTGGTGAGGGGAGAACTATGAAAGGTTAATAGGGAAACATCGCTGCTCTTGAAGATGCAAGTGGTCCAGGAGGTATAGAATTAGAGTAGCCTCTAGAACCTGGAAAACGCAAGAAGTAATTCTACCCTACAGCGTAGCCTCTAGAAAGGAATGCAGTCCTGCTGATACCCTAAGTTTAGCCCAGTGAGACCAGAATTGGTCGTCTAACCTTCAGCACAGTTATATAATAAATTTTTGTTTAAAGCCATTAGATATGTGGAAATTTGTTGTGACAACAACAGAAAACCAATACATGTTAAGAAAATTAGCTTTCTCCATGCTTAGACTGGTGATGCTATGGCCAGCAATAATGGCCTCACAAACATTAGGTAAAGTTTCTCATTGGCTAGCTGAGGAAAACAGGAATAGACTGTTTTGAAAGGGGAATGAGATGTGCAAGTATACATAAAGCCATTTTTCCTTTTCTGACCCTCCTGCAGCCCAGCTAAAACAAGAAGCCAAGGTTCCCTTACCCATTCCAACATATCCAGGACAGGTAACTAAGATTGGACCTAAGTAGGAAATGGAACTTGAGGCATGGTCCCAGAGAAATCCTGGGCAAGAACTATTAAGAAAACTGTTGACATTTCCCCACAGGACAATCTAATGTAGAACTATCTTGCTTTCCTCCTTTCCTTTCTTCATTACATCTCCCACATGCCAGTGAGAGGACAAGGCTTTTCTCTCCTTCCTGTTAACTAAGGAATAATGCCATCATGGTATGTTATGGCCCATTAATTCTTTCTTTTGGTGTGGCTTCATACTATAGTACTTGTCTGACTTCCTGAGTGTGAATATTACATGGAAAATACACAACAAGTAAATAAATACATGAAATAAAACTAAATAATAAAACTTTTACAATTCTAAATTAGGTTTTAATAGCAGCTTTTTATTATCTTACATGTCTATCTGTTGAGGTGACACAAAGGGTATCTAATAGTATTACAGTTAAGGCAATATAACCATTACTGCACAGTACTATCATGCTCAATACTGAGAACTGGTTACTAACTTGCACAAGTTACTCAACTTCTGAATTTCCCTGTCTGTATCTACCCTGTAACATCAGAGGCTTGCAGAGGGTTAGAGTATACCCTAATTCTACAGAGTTGTAAGGCATAATCTAATGATGTACACACTATACTCTATATGGGGCTCTAATAATACCAGTTATCATTACCATGATACTGTAATATAATTGACACAACTGGTAGTATCTTAATAGAGTGATATCAGTACTTCAGTGAAAAGATGTGTTCTAACATAGAATCTAGTATCAGATAAACCAATTACTCCCTCCAAAGATTTTATTATTAGGTATTTTAACATATCAAACAACATTAAGAATACTTTTCAATATAATCCTAAGGATCTGTGCTAAGCAACTATACATTTATAAACACAGTAAGAATCATAACTGTAACTTTAAAGAGATAAAATGCAATGACTTACCTATTACTACCACAGGCAAAGTCACTGATGAATCTTCAAGTAAAGGAGTTTCTTCAACTAATGGCATAGCTTTAACTTTTCGCCCTAAATTACCACCAAAATATTGCACTAAAGAATTAAAAATCTCTCCTTCGGTTTCAGTGTCACTGTAGTTTCTTTTTAAAAAAACAAACATGGAACAAACAAAAAATAATAACATAGTCAATAAAGCCTTTATGAAAGCCTCTCTTTACTCAGATTTTATTTAGGCCATAAAATATTTAAAAGTTCATAAAAGGAGAAAAAGAAATCCCTCTGATTAATGCTTTCAAATTAGTAGCTTAACTACATGTCAACCTACCCCACTTTATATGTCAGAAATCCTAAATAACTATTAATGTTTCTTTAGTACCTTGTATGCAAGTGCTACAGAAGTCCTAAATAAGAAGTTATCCTTAATGCTGCAAGACAAAGCATTGTATTGGGGTTTTTTAAATTCTCTGCAATCTCCCAGGAATGACTAGTTTCTCCTTTATTTTTTCTCATTAATAGGTAAGTGCATTAGCGCAGTATATTTGGAACAAAATCATCAAATATTTTAAGGAAACATTACTGTATTTATATATTACAAATTGTGCATTTTGGTAAAACATGTTTATACATCTTATTAATTCTCAAAGAGATACTGATATATGGGAAGATTTTAATGTTGATTCCAATCTACCTCCTTCCCAACTGACTCCCTAGAAACTTGTTTTGCATTCTGAGATGCTCATGCAATAAATGGAGTCCCCTCCAGTTTATGTTCTACATTATAGAGATTACTTCAAGAAAGAATCCCTGGATTATTTTTTATCTTCATATAGTCAGCAAAAGGAAAAATGCCTGGATATTAAACTATGTACTGACCAGTAGGTTAATATACATATTACTGTTCTCAAAATGATAAACATGGGATGCATAAGTTATTTCACGGGACTCACTGATCCTAGAGGAGGATTATAAAAGATAAGAATTAAGAGACTGAAATTTCTGCTTCCCTATAACCTACCTTCCAAGGTCCCAATATCCCCAGTATACACTAACAGCTTTCTTGAAGAAGGTGTAACCTCTACCCCAAACATCTGGACTCTCCTAATGGCACATGGACCCTTCTGGCCAGAATAGATAACCTTCAGATATGGCTACCAGGGAAAGCCCCTCCTCACACCACAAGCCTGCCCCTGGAAGAAATGTCATGCTGGACCCATTCCTTTCATGACACGAAATTAAATACATGACAGGTAATTAAATACATGCAATAAAAGGAACCATTCCAGCTACTACCTCTGATCAGACATAGGTGTATTAGCTGCCTTGCTTGCTTTTGCTTCTTGGCAACTGAATTCAACATGTGTGTATAATACCGATATTTCTCCTGTGTGCCAAGGACAGGTTCACCAGCTCCCTTTGGATGCTTCAGACCAAAGTCTTTTTGGAGACCCAGGCCTCATTAATATTACTGTGACTGCTATAAAGGCTACAATTTTTTCACGACATGCACACTTCATTCTCAGTCTCCTCCAGACATCCCTACCTTATCCATACTGTTGTTTCCATATACATATAAAACCCAGGAAATAATTCATAAAAAATGATCATCAGTCTACATTTTTGATAGAGATACCTCCTTTAAACCTTAAACATTTCACATTTTGAAAAGGGGGGCATATGCTTGGGGTTAAGAGTCAACCTGAAAGTGTATTATATATATTTAGTTAAGCTAGACTACTTAAATTTTATCTGATACCCTGTACACTCTGAAAGCAAACATGATCCTTTGAATGAATGACTGAAAGCATTTTAGCAGCTACTGCCATATTTGATTCTGTGAGCAAAACTCAATGATCTAAAATGCCTCAGCCAGTTTCTTAAGTCTACAAATAAATGCTGTGAAATGAATACTTAATATTCAGATTCCTTAAGAACAAACCATGGCCAGAAGTGTTGGCTTATACAAACTCCAAATCACTTTTGCTTAAAGGTACAAAACTCAATCTTTGTAGAACTTACTAAGAAGCAGTTAATATTCCAAAAAAAGGTGTCTCAAGCAATCTTTTTTCTGGCAGGCCTCAGATTTTAATATAGCTACCAAGGGTATATACTGACTATATATTTTATAAGTACTTTTCATTACATTGGACCTGTCCTCTCAAACAATTAGTTTATACTTAAAAGATGAAAAAAGAGGTTAAGACAGTAAGAAATAAAATTCCTCCTCCGTTGGGCTTCTTTTAAAGAAAAACAGCTTTCAAGAGCTCAAAAATATCAGAAAGACAATAACAGGTCATTTGATCAGTCCCTAGACCAAGGTAAATAAAGGGAGTGTGGAAAGATAATGCCATTTAAAAAAAAACAAAAAAACCAAGAACCTGAATGATATAAATCACATAAAAAATTCACTCTTTTGAAGTGTACAATTCAGGATTGTTAGTATAATTACAAGGTTTCTCAATCACCACTGATTCCAGAAAAATTTCTTATGACTCCAAAAGTACATACCAAATCCATTAACATTCATTCATTCTTCCCTCCCTCCAGCTACTGGCAACCACATATATACTTTCTGTCTTACTGGATTCACCTAGTTGGACATTTCACAAAAATGAAACTCCTCACACATTATGTGGTCTTGTGCCTAGCTTCTTCCACTTAGCATGCTTCCAAGGTTCACCCATGTTGTAGGATCTATCAGTACTTCATTCCTTTTTATGCCTGAGTAGTATCCCATTGTACAGATAGAACACATCGCTCATTCATGCGCTGATGAACATTTGAGTCATCTCCATTTTTTGGCTACTATGAATGCTGCTATGAGCATGCATGTATAAACTGTGTGGACTCTCTCAGGTATGTTCTTAAGAATACGGCTGGGTCATTAACTCTTAATATCTTTAATAAACTCTTTAGTATCTTAAGGAACTGCCAAACTCTTTTCCCAAAGTGGCTATACCTGTTTACATTTTCACCAGCAATGTATGAGGTTTCAATTTCTCCACATCTTCAGCAATGCTTATTTTTTAGCCACACTAGCAGGTATGAAGTGGAATCTCACTGAAGTTTTAATTGGCAAGACCCATTCCTTTCATGACACGAAATTAAATACATGACAGGTAATTAAATACATGCAATAAAAGGAACCATTCCAGCTACTACCTCTGATCAGACATAGGTGTATTAGCTGCCTTGCTTGCTTTTGCTTCTTGGCAACTGAATTCAACATGTGTGTATTATACCGATATTTCTCCTGTGTGCCAAGGACAGGTTCACCAGCTCCCTTTGGATGCTTCAGACCAAAGTCTTTTTGGAGACCCAGGCCTCATTAATATTACTGTGACTGCTATAAAGGCTACAATTTTTTCACGACATGCACACTTCATTCTCAGTCTCCTCCAGACATCCCTACCTTATCCATACTGTTGTTTCCATATACATATAAAACCCAGGAAATAATTCATAAAAAATGATCATCAGTCTACATTTTTGATAGAGATACCTCCTTTAAACCTTAAACATTTCACATTTTGAAAAGGGGGGCATATGCTTGGGGTTAAGAGTCAACCTGAAAGTGTATTATATATATTTAGTTAAGCTAGACTACTTAAATTTTATCTGATACCCTGTACACTCTGAAAGCAAACATGATCCTTTGAATGAATGACTGAAAGCATTTTAGCAGCTACTGCCATATTTGATTCTGTGAGCAAAACTCAATGATCTAAAATGCCTCAGCCAGTTTCTTAAGTCTACAAATAAATGCTGTGAAATGAATACTTAATATTCAGATTCCTTAAGAACAAACCATGGCCAGAAGTGTTGGCTTATACAAACTCCAAATCACTTTTGCTTAAAGGTACAAAACTCAATCTTTGTAGAACTTACTAAGAAGCAGTTAATATTCCAAAAAAAGGTGTCTCAAGCAATCTTTTTTCTGGCAGGCCTCAGATTTTAATATAGCTACCAAGGGTATATACTGACTATATATTTTATAAGTACTTTTCATTACATTGGACCTGTCCTCTCAAACAATTAGTTTATACTTAAAAGATGAAAAAAGAGGTTAAGACAGTAAGAAATAAAATTCCTCCTCCGTTGGGCTTCTTTTAAAGAAAAACAGCTTTCAAGAGCTCAAAAATATCAGAAAGACAATAACAGGTCATTTGATCAGTCCCTAGACCAAGGTAAATAAAGGGAGTGTGGAAAGATAATGCCATTTAAAAAAAAACAAAAAAACCAAGAACCTGAATGATATAAATCACATAAAAAATTCACTCTTTTGAAGTGTACAATTCAGGATTGTTAGTATAATTACAAGGTTTCTCAATCACCACTGATTCCAGAAAAATTTCTTATGACTCCAAAAGTACATACCAAATCCATTAACATTCATTCATTCTTCCCTCCCTCCAGCTACTGGCAACCACATATATACTTTCTGTCTTACTGGATTCACCTAGTTGGACATTTCACAAAAATGAAACTCCTCACACATTATGTGGTCTTGTGCCTAGCTTCTTCCACTTAGCATGCTTCCAAGGTTCACCCATGTTGTAGGATCTATCAGTACTTCATTCCTTTTTATGCCTGAGTAGTATCCCATTGTACAGATAGAACACATCGCTCATTCATGCGCTGATGAACATTTGAGTCATCTCCATTTTTTGGCTACTATGAATGCTGCTATGAGCATGCATGTATAAACTGTGTGGACTCTCTCAGGTATGTTCTTAAGAATACGGCTGGGTCATTAACTCTTAATATCTTTAATAAACTCTTTAGTATCTTAAGGAACTGCCAAACTCTTTTCCCAAAGTGGCTATACCTGTTTACATTTTCACCAGCAATGTATGAGGTTTCAATTTCTCCACATCTTCAGCAATGCTTATTTTTTAGCCACACTAGCAGGTATGAAGTGGAATCTCACTGAAGTTTTAATTGGCATTCCCCTAATGACTAATGTCAAGCATCTTTTCATATGTCTATTGGCCATCTATATATCTTCTTTGGAGAAATATTCAGATTTACTGTCCACTTTCAAACTGGGTGGTCTTTTTTATTGTTGAGCTTTAAAAATTATATATTCTGGATACAGATTCCTTTTCAGATACAGGGTTTGCAAACATTTTCCCTATTCTGTGGGCTGTCTTCATTTTGTCTTTTGAATCATAAAAGTTTTAATTTTTGATCAAGTCCAATTTACTTTTGTTGGTGTGATTTTGGTGTCATACCTAAGAAACCACTGCTTAAACCAACATCAAATATTTATTTTTATTTTCTTCTATGAGTTTTATAGTTCTAGTTCTTACATTTAAGTCTTTCATCCATTTTGAGTTACTTTTTGCTTCATTCTTTTGCTTGTGGATATTCTTTTGTCCTGGCACCATCTGAAGATGGTATTTCCACATTGTCTCTGGATCCCATGGAATACCAAATGCCCATAAATGAAGGATTTATTTCTAGACTCTTAATTCTATTCCACTGATCTACGTGTTTATCTTTATGCCAGCATCACACTGTTATGATTACTGTTTCTTTGTAGTAAGTTCTCAAATCAGAAGTGTGAACTTTATTCTTCTTCAAGTCATTTTGGACAATGGGTTTCTTGCAATTTCATAATAATTTTAGGATCTGCTTGTCAATTTCTGAAAAAAAGGCTAAGATTTTGATAGGATTTTGATAGGATTACATTCAATTTATCTATCAACTGAAGGAACATTAGGCTTTTCAATCCAGGAACACAGGGTTCCTTTTCATTTATTTAGGCCTTCTTTAATTCATCTCAATTATGTTTTGTAGTTTTCAGTATACAAGTCTTACTTTTTTTGGTTAAATTTATTCCTATTTCATTCTTTTTGATGCTAGTATAAACAGAATTGTATTAATTTCACTGTCAGATTATCCATTATTAGTTTATCAAAATATAATTGATTTTTGTATGTTTACCTTATATTCTGCAACACTGCTGAATTTATTATTAGATCCAGTAGGTTTTTTGTGTGTGTAGGCCTCAAGCAATTTGATCTAGTCTGTCTTAAGATTTAAGCAGAGTATACAGCACCCAAGTTTTAGCTTATCGAAATTATCTGCATAGTATAGTAATTTGTTCTGATTTTCTAAGACACCAGTATAATGTGCATATAAATAACCTGCATATAATCTATAATGTTGGCATAAATAATCTGTAATAAACTTGCATATTTGAAATATTTAATACTAACTTAACAAAAAACAATCAAGCAAACAAAAAATGAAAATATGGTTCACTGGTTTTACATAAAGTAACAGTGAAACAAAGGCCTGCTACTGAGTATTCTTTCTAAAAAATTCAGAGCCTAAATTAAAATTTAGTGTTGCTTTACATGTTTTACAATGCACACTATTATCATAGGTCTATGAAAGGTATAAATTTTCACTTTAGGTATCCAATTTGATGAATGTTTGCTTTCTAAAACAAGTGTTTATTTTGAGTAATTAAAATAATATAATTTCCTTTACTTAGGACATTAATTAGAAAAAATAAATAATTATATTTTAGGAAATAAAGAACAGCACTTTACATGTGTGAAAATAGTTACCCTATTGGTAGGCATCAAGAAATTATTTTAAGATGATTTTAGAGGCCTTCTATCTTTTGTTTTCAAAACATCATAGTCCAAAGTCTCAAAACAAATTTCAGAGAACAGCGTAACCATAATATTGGGATAACAAGACAACTTTTCTCACAACGAACAATACTTCTTTAAATGATCACTCAAACCAAAATGACATGCTTTACTATCAGAATTTTTAGTCTTTGGAAGCATGATTCTAAACTGTTACCAAACTGATATTACCACACGAAAAGAAGGATCTAAGTCACAAATGAAGTCTGTCACACTCGCCATTTTCCAGAGCAGGAAGTATGGGGCAGTTAGTGGACAGCTGCAAAGAGGATAATTCTCTCACAATACCTATCCTTTGATATTAGACAAGATCCAAAACATAGATGTCACAACCTGTTTTAATGTATGTTCCAAATGAAATTTCAAAAAACAAAAAAAAACCAGCATTAGTAGAATATAAACATCCTCCTAAAGGAGCCATCTTAAATACTAAATATTTTATTTTTAAAATTCTAGATGCAATGGAGCTGTTTCTACAATGTAAATATTAATCACAATTTTTATCTTTTGGCTAGCAGGTTTGTTCTCCTTTATCCCTCAATATTCAAATACAGCGAAATACTTCTTTGTTTTCATCCCCTCCTCCAAATTTCTGTACAGAGTATTACTACCTAGGGTTAGCTGAATGGATATGGGTCCCAAGATGTGTCCTTTGAGTTCAACTGTATCAAAAGATGTCAAAAGGCTTTCTGATAGTGTTTTCTGAAAGGCATGTTATTTTCCCAGGGACTTCAGTTTAACACATTTTCACAGGATGACCTGTGTTCTAAAACTCTCCAAAGTGGATCTGCTACTCTCAAACTACTGTCTGTCAAGTAGTCAACAAATATGTCCACAACTTAAAATTCAGCAGTTTATTACATAAAACAGTTTTTAAAAAATCCAGCATTTAGAGACTCCTACAAAACTCACTGGGAAGCTGGGCAAGCCTGGATTGTTGCTCTCTATTTACAAGAGTTCTGAACCTTCTGTGCCTTATCCTTTTGCAATTTGGTGAAACCTCTGGACCTCTTTGATTTTTATTAAATAAGAGATACACACAATTTACATGAAAATCAAAATTATATTAAATAGTTATAAAGAGTAAACTTGTGATTTTATATGCCCTTCTCTATCTTATCAAGTTCAGTGATGTGTAATTATCACTGTAATTTGGGGGGAAAAAAGCGTGAGCAGTATTTCTAGATATGTGCAACAACTGTAGATGATATATTTATGACTTCCTCTAGTGACAAAGTCACAAGTACTACTCTGATTTGTTGCTTACATTCATAGTTGGAAGAACATAGATTTTGATTAAAAACTTCTTGTACCTTTCTTTACACCCAAGTTCATGGATTAATACTTAAATTTTATCTATGACTTCCAATTTAAGAACTCTTCATCAGTTTCATATTTTACCAAAAAAAGTTTTATATACCATTATTTTAGTGTATTCATATATGTAAAGCAAGTTACTAAAGTCCTGGATAAGTTTAACATTTCTTCACTACAGCATTAAAATCAGTTTCAAGCGTCTTTGGTCTTCCCCTAAGTGACTCAAGATTTGGTCAACTGTGCTGATCTAGAACATTTATTCACTTTTACTTTAAAAGGGATTATCCTTAAAACCTTTAAAAACTGCCGTAATGTGAGTCTAGAATCACGTTTTTCAAATTTCTACTATGTGGCTTCCAATTACTAGTATCTTAGGTAGCACCTATTTCTAACAAGAGCATCACACTTAAAACAGTTCCCCACCTCACTTCAACCCAGTAACTGGGGTTATTACGTTTTTAAAGGAAATAAGAAAACGCAAGGGGGATGGATGGGGGTAACTTGCACAACCCTTGACTAAAACTCTGCACTGCTTATTCGTCTCGACTCGCAGTAACCGACTCGCTCCAGGCCTAGCCGGTTCCCAAGTCCTGTGGGAGGTACAACCCAGGGCGAGGAGAGGGGCACAGGAAAGCCGAGTCCCACGGAGCGCGGGGACCGCTCGCTGGGTGGCGACGCGGGAGCCCCGACCAGGCGGGAGCCCCGACCAGGCGGGAGCCAGCAGGCAGCGGCGGCCTGGGCGGGGTGAGCGCGAGGCCGCTGCAGTCCAGGCGCTCGCCCTCCACCCGAGCCCGTCCGGCTCCAGCCCCGCCCGACCTCGGCGCACCTCTGCCCGGCCCGGCCGTACGGCTGGGAAGCGCTCCGCCGCGCCAGCTCCTCTCCTTCCCCTGCGGAAAAGTCACCTGAAATGACCGGCCAGCGAGCAGCGACAACACCACACAGGCATGGAGTGCGGCGCACGGGGCACCAGAGTGCGACGCCACGGCCGCCGCCACTGCCTCCCGCGGCGGGCAGCGTTCAGGGCGCCCGGCTGCTCGCTCGGGGTCGCGGGGTCCGCGGAGACCCGCGCCCCGCGCCTGCCGTTGCCGCCGCTGCCCGGAAGCTGCGGCTCTGTAGCGGGCCAGGCTCTGCGCCCTGAGGTCAGCCTCAGGACAGCGGCTTCCTCTCCTCGCCCGCGGGGAGCCAGACGCCGCCGGAGGGTGATCTCGGGGCGCCGCGATAGGGGCGGAGCGGGGCGGGGACGCTGCGACGGCCGTGGCGGAGGCGAGCGGGCTCCTCCTCGCAGGTGCGGCGGCCGCGGCGGGCGAGGCCCGTGATTGGTGGAGCCGCGGCCGGGGCGAGGGGCCGGGCCTGACGGAGCGGCGGCTGCGCGGGCTGGGGCAGATGTCTGCCCGCCAACCGGACGGCTGCGGCCGCGGCGCCCCGGGCCCGGGCCTCGGCCTGCAACCCCCTCGCGGCGTGGGGTTGAGACGGCCAGTGACGAGGGCAGAGAACGAGCTGCTGAGCTGGGTAGCGAGGCTGAGCGGCAGGAACCCCTGCGTCCTGCGCGGCCTCGGCGACCTGCGCAGCTTGGAGTCGCCGGAGTCGGTCCCCGCGGGCCGCCCACCGAGGGCGCCCTAGAAAGCCCGAGATTTCCGCCCCAGGAAACCCACCTCAGTGCTTTCCCTCGCGCTGACCCGGCGCAGACGCCCGGAGCTTCCGCGCGCGTCTTGCTCTTGACTCTGACTCAGTCGCCGGGGGAACTCACCAAACCACAGGTGCCTGGGCGCCCCCCACCGCCGTTCTGGTCGTGGAAGTCCGGCTTCCTGGAGGGAGTTACCTCCTTTAAGTGGCTCAAAAACATCCACGAGTGTAAGAATCACCTACTTTACTGATTAAAAATTCCGCTGCTCAGCCCCGCCCTTGACTTGCCGAGAGCGTTTCCGGAAGGAGGAAAGAGCAGCAATGTGTATTTTTTGAATCCTTCAGGTGATCGTGATGCAAGTATAGTTAGAAAAGTCCCCAGTAATGAGTGTCCCTATTCGGTGTTGTCAGAAACTAAGGGAAAAACCTAAGTAATTGATTGCACGTACTATTATACAGAGATGTCTTTCTATACCCATACCCAAAAAAAACCTCAAATTATTTTTGCACTTAAAATATACGGTGCATGAGTTTGTTTTTAAAGTTATTTTTAAGAAGTTCTCAGGTTTTCTGAGTGTTGTCACTGAACTTGCACTTAACAGGTATTTCAGATTCTGTGGAACTTAGTTGTAGGACCCAGCATGCCTCCAGGATTACAGAGTCTAAGGGGAATATCCCACTTTTAAAATTTCTGGTTTTTAATGAATTATTGACAGTTTGAGGAGCTCCTTTTACTTAAAAGTTGTTTCAGAAAGTGAAGCATGAAGTTACTTTTCGGTTGTTTTTCATAACATTTTAAAGAACCTAAATTCCTAACAGATTGGTGGTTGCCAAAGGACAGGTGAAATAGGTGGAGGGAGGAAAAAAAATCTAGTGAGAATGTTTGATATCTGGGTGATGGTTACATGAGTGTATACATATATCGAAATTCATCAAGCTGCACACTAAGGTTTGTGCCTTTTATTGTGGGTACCTCAATTAAAAGAAAGAAAGGACCTAACTTCCTGAAAGCTATGCCAATCCAAGGAAATGAAATAATGTTTATAACTACAAGAATGTTTATAGTACTTTGTATAATTTTCCTTCATGGCTTTGTTATTACCTTACTGTTTTCTTGTATTTTCAGATCAAATAGTAAGGCATATCAAAATTTAAGCTTAATCTAGTTTGTATTTAAACCTTGTGAACTTGCTATCATGGCTTACATGTGATAATGGCTTATGATTATATGAAGCCACTGATTGCATATAGGAGTTTTCTTAGAGCAAATGGGGCTTATTAAGAATTTCTGTATTTTTATTTTGAAATTGTCGGTAAGGTCTTATTTAAATAAAAAATCCAGGTTTGGTGAGGTTATAGGACAACAGACTTAGATTCTGCTGGTGAGAGTATAATTAGTATGTAATCTGTAACTTCCCCCACTGTTATAATATAACCTCAGCCCTCCTTTCAGTGCCTACACTAGCATATTTAGGGTGAAGCTTATCTCACTTATAACTGTACTAGTCATGGTACTTTCTGGGCTTCCAGTTGACAAGACAAAAAATTATGAAATATCCTAAATTAAGTGACATAAGGACAGGTGAATGAGGGACAGAGACAAGGGAAGGTCGCTAGTCAAAAGCCACAGGCCATAGCTAACCAGAAACTCCACATTCCTCAGTGAAGTCATTTGAACAAGCATCTAGAAGGTCCGTAGGACCACCACATTTGCCATGCACATGACCAGTGCCTGACCATCTGTGGGGAAAATTGGAGTTCCTATGGCCAGGACCATCATCTGCACCTAAACTACTTGATGATGTAACTGGCCTACTGCTAGGCTACTGCTTCCACACTCCTAGGCAATAAGCTATTATTGACTGAGTCACAATGTCTGCCGAGTGCTCTGGGCAGAGACAGAGATGGAGGAGGATTACAGACCTGCAGACTGTTGGATGCAGATGTAATTCTAGTGCTCGACCTGTTGCCAGGAGAAGAAAGCTGGGTAATAAACCCTTTGACCCCAGGGACATACCATTGTCATTCCTCGGGTCTCAGTGAATCCATAGTGAACTTTCCCATTGGCAAGGCAATTGCCAATGTCGGCAGGATTCACTGTTGACAGAGGAACAGAACAGGCTGCCCTATAGGAGGGATGCTTCAGCAGGCTGCCCCTATGAATGGAGAGACAGTTGAGTGTCCCTCCAATGGTTATGTGGTCTGAGGTGCCTTGCCTCCTAGAGGGCTGGGCCCCACCCCAGGGCTGGAGGCAGGTGGAGGTAACACATGAGGCAGTAGAGATGTCCCCTGTTATAATAAGATGGTCCTTTGAGAAACAGAGTACCTGTGAGGCTGCAGGAACTGTGGGTTGGCTGTTTCTCACAGTATGAAAAAAGTCTACAGATGAGAAGAATGTGCTCCTGAAAGAGACACAAGAAATGACAGCACAAGAGAGGAGGCAGCACAAGAATGTGGCTGTGAGGTGCTGTGAGGAAGTAAAAGAATTGTTAAAAAATGAAATGGTGTTGCCCTGAGGTACAGTGGAAGAGGTAAAGGCCATGAGGGAGAAGGACACACCCCTGCAAAAAGCAGAAAAAGAGGCAGTGCAAGAACGTGAGCTGCAAGGTCCAGTGGAGGAGGTAAAGGATTATTTACAGAATGAGACAGCAGTGCTGCAAGGTGCTCTGAAGGAGGCAAAGGCCATGGAGGAGAAGGACATACATGTGCCATGCAGTCCTACCTCAGCAGGCATGATAGAGAGGTATAATGGTTTGTTAAAAACTGGCCTGAAGTCAGACACCAATTTATGAGAGTGGTCAGTCCACTTACAGACAGTGCTGCAGCAGTTTGAATGAGAAACCCCGAAAGGGAGCACTGAGCCCCGTAGACATGCTAATGCATTCCTATACACCTGCAAGTACAAACCAAGGAAGAATTGTTGAAGCCAATGTTTGGCCACCAGAATTATATCTTGCTGCCAGCACCAACTGCACTGAACCCCGGAGACTCCATTGAGTCAACGTGACCTTGGACATTTCTACACATGAATCAATGATGGATGGCCCTCCTGGCACCTTGGGAACAAGGCCTGAAAGCTGACCTCCTGGAGTAACCGCAGAGTGGCTCCCAAAGATCACAGTAGTATATCCTAACGGCCAGAAGGTAGGAGCATCTTACTGGAGAGTTTTGTTTTATCCTTATGGGCACCACTGCATGCATCTCCAGTCTATATGTAGACCCCTCAGTAACCTCCATAGGGAGAAGGGTAAAGTTGTGGTATATTAGATCTGGATGGGACCCTCTTCCAGCTACAGTCCTATCACAGGACCACTCTTTTGTATGCATCCTACCTGCTGGGCAAGATTTGCCTATGTTGGTGTCATTAAAACCCTTATCACCCTTAAGATCTTTGTGAATTGGGCACACACCCAAGTAAAAATGCTCCTCGTTGGGGTGCACGGAGCTCCCTAGCTATACAACTACTAACTGTAAGTCATGAGCTGAGTAGAACTGGTTTTGAATATAACTGGAATACCCTCCTCAGGCTTAAGGATTATTTAATTTTTACCTGTATCAAAATTTTGTTGTATCATAATTTTTGTTATTATCTCTATGTTGTTATCTTCTGTTCCTATTGTGGAATCTGGTTACAATGCTACAGCTTTCTCACACAGAGACCATTGTGGAAGATTGAGAGCATGTAGACTGTGAAGTGAGAATCCCGGAGAGGTGCATTGTGGGGAAAATTGAAGTTCCTATGGCTAGGACCCTCACCTGAATCTAAACTACTTGATGTAACTGGCCTGCTGCTAGGCTACTGCTTCCACACCTGTAGGCAAAAAGCTATCATTGACCGAGTCACTATATAGAGTTCAGCCCAGTGCTCTGTGCGGAGGCAGAGATGAAGGAGGATTACAGACCTGCAGACTCTTGGATGTAGATGTAATTCTAGTGTTCAACCTATTGCCAGGAGAAGAATGCCAGGTAATAAACCCTTTCACCCAACGTTCCTTTGTCCTTCCTCCGTCTCCCAGAATCCATAGTGAACTTGCCCGTGGCTGAAACCCATTGGCAAGACACCATCATAACCAACCAACCCACGGCCCTGCTCTCTGGACTAACCACCTATCCCCAGACTTTCCCTGCTTCCCGTTGAACTGCCTTCCTTGCCTGTAGGCAATATGAATTTACAGAACTTTCTTTCCTTGACACCCCTCATAAATGTGCCCTGTTTCTACTAGAGTCTGGTGGACAAGGTACTTCTGTTAACTAGCCTTTCTGCTGGGGAAGCAGAAACTTCTGTCTTGGGACTCAGTCCTTCTCTGGCTAACATCTGTAAAGGCTCAATAAACCCTTTCACTTCAGAGATCTCGGTCTCTAGAGTTTTTGACTTGTCACAGTGTTTCCTGGTTGTAGAATCCTTACTAAACAACTCTTCTTACTGGTATATAATATACCAGTATGTCATACATTAAATTGTAATATAGTGGCTAAAAGGTGTGTTCATTTTGGAATCTTTGCTCTGTTAGCTGTGTAATCTTGAGCAAATTACTTGGCATCTCTAGGCATTGAGTCCTCATATATAAAATGAGGATGATAGAACTTTTTCCTCTGGTTGTAAGGATTAAAAAAGAAAATACCTATAAGGCACTTACCACAGTGTCCGGCTTATGTTAATCACTAAAGAAATAACAGTTATCATTATTAATATTTATATTGTAAAGTACTTTCTGATTTTCTAAAAGCAAAATTCCAGAATGTATGTGGCTAGACTGAATTGTGCCTGACTCCTAAATCCATATGTTAAAGCTGTGAAAAGAAATTATGGGAAACTTCACTAACATGGTGTCAGGAGGCCTGGAGGAGAGAAGCTCTCATGCCTACCAAGCCTTGTAAATCTCAGATCCCATCAAAAGAGATGGATACCTTACTGTTTTAGCTACTTTACCACCCAGCAATAAAAAGAAGGCTTCCACCTTCCTCCTCCTGCTGTAGCCTAGCCAATGAGAAGCCATGATATGTCGGACTGCCAGTTTACTCCAATGAACTTTCTGTTTAGACAGCCTTCTAGCCCAGCCCCTTCCCCTGTAAAAGAATGTTCCTTTCCTTTGTTCGCTAGACGTACTTATGGTTCTATTGTACCCAGCTGCAATTCTCTGCTACTCCTGAATAAACCTGTTTTAGCTAGTAAAATAACTTTTATTTTTAAAGTTAACAAAGGGTTAGGGTCTATAAAGAGGTAATTAAGATAAAATGAGGTCATAAGATGAAACCCCAATCAAGTAGGGCTGGCACCTAATAAGAAGAGGGGCTCTTTCTGCCAGGTGAGGACACAGGAGAGGGCAACAAGCCAGGAAGAGAGTTATCAGGAACCAAATCAGCAAGCACCTTGACTTAAACCTCCCTGCCTCCAGGATTGTGAGAAAATAAGCAACTTTGTTAATTAGGCCACTCAGTCTGTGGCATTTTGTTAAGACAGCCAGAGCTAAGACTAAGACACTATTGTTTTGCATTTTCTAGAAGAAAACAAAAAGTTTCAATGTATACAATTCAAAATACACCATTGCATTTCATAAACTAGGTAAACCTGTCAATGGACCATTTCATATGTAATAGTTTGGTGGTATAAGATTCAGCTTTAGAGAGCTATAGAGAACCTTCTAGAAAAACAGTTCCTCCTTCA